TGGTATAACATTAAAGTTTTTAATTCATTTTAGTGATTTTTTTCAACATGATGAGAGATGAGAGTACAGTTTAAATCTGCAAGTGAGTATTCTGCTTGCATAGTGCCTTTTACTGAATGTACTGTCTTTTCCCAACTATTTGACCTTGAAATCTTTATAAAAAATTAACTGACCATGAATTTTTTGATAAATTTGTGATATATTCATGGACTCTATGTCATTTTCCTTTATTTTCTTAATTAGTTTATGCATACATTGTTTTCCATTCCTTAGTAATATATTTTCATGCACAAAGATTTTCAATTTTATTGTAGTACAAAGTATTTGTTTTCCTTCTTTTCTTATGTGTTTTGTGCCATTTACAGAAGCCAGTAATAAAGAAGCTAGTCTTCAGTTTTCTTCTAAAAGTTCTATGATTTTAGCTTTTTTATTTAAACTATTGATATTTATGTGTTATCTGTTCAGTGTTCAATGTATTTCCTTTCTGTAGATTGTGTTCTTGGAAAGTTCAGTCAATGTCTCTGTGAGTTGCATCCCTAACATCTACATGGCAGTGAAATGTGTTTTTGAGAGTTCTATCTGGGTAAATGACATTATGAGGCTACAGAACTCCAGTGTGGCACTTTGCTAACAGAAGTGTTCTCAGGCTGAGTGTCCCCTAATCACAGTTGTATCAGGCATAGGTATGACACCAGAAATTTCCTCAGAACCCATGGACAGTCTTAATTTAAAGACATTGCCATCTTGTGTATGAAGACTGCAATAAGCACCAACTTCTTCAAATGTGGAGACATTTAAGAATGACAATGATGACCAATAACAATCAGGGAAATATAACATCATCAAAGAGACAGAATATTGTGGCTTTTCTGACCCTAGAAATATGAAAGTGTATAAAAAAACCTGAGAAAAAAGGCAAAATAACTATTTTAAGGAAATTCAGTTAAACAAAATGAAATACAAAGAATCTATTCAATGAAATGAGAAAAATAACCAGTGAACTGATAAAAAATGTAACAGAGATTCAATTAATAGATGCATATAAATACATATATGCACACACATACATATATATGCAAATATGCCAGAAAGATATATTCCTGGCAATAAAAGCTACAATGATCAAAGGAGAACTTCAATTAAAGGCATGAATAGCAGAGTTGTGAAAGACAATGATGAATCCTGTGATATTGATGACAGATTCACAGAAAATACATAGTCAGAAGAAGAAAAAATAAAAAGGATTAAGGAAAGATTAAATATTTATGAGACAGTATCATATTGATACTTGAAATATTCAAGCCATTGGTGTGGTCAAGGTAATGATAATAAGAAACAAACTGCATTTAAAGAAAAAAATTTGGAAACTTATCCAAGCCTAGAGAAAGAAATACCCATGTAAAGGTGGATTGAAGGTGTCCAATTAGATTTAATCTGCATAAGATTAACCCACAGCATATTATTAAAAATCAAACAAAGAAAGGATCCAGAAATCAACAAATAAGGAAATAATATTTAGAGGTAGTTAATATCCAACACTGTATATATCCACAGAAAACAAGATATATTCAATGCATTGAAACAAAAGTACTACCAATAACAAATGTTTTACCAAGAATCACTGTTTTTCATAATTGAAGGAGTTATAAAAACATTCACAGACAAACAAGAATTGGGAGTTCATCACCTCTAGAACCGTGCTTCAGAAAATGCTAAATGGACTCTTTCAAGTTGTGAAAAACATTGATAATGAGTTACAATAAGATATCTGAAAGGATATAAAAATGAGGTAACAAGTACTCAAACTGAGAACAACCTGTAATGTCATTGTGATACATGCGCACATCTTAAATACCAAGATTCAAAGAAACAAACTTAAAATAATAGTCATTGCAATAATTTGTAAAAGAATGAGGAATACAAAACATGTAAATATTGACATCAAAATTCCAAATGTGCACTGGATACTCAAAATATAATCAATGTTAAGTTGCAAACATCTTATTAGATGAGTATTTGTAAGCCTCAGATATCTATAAAGTGAAACCCCATAGAAAATACACAAAAGTTAAAAGTAAGGAAATAAAACAAACCTCTGATCTAAAAACAAGAAAAAATCACAAGAGAGGAAGATTTAGGACACCCTCCTGGTGTCTGGATGGAAGGCAGCCACCAGAGACAGTAATTGAGAGGAAGAGGGTTGCATGGACCAATTGAAAATTTTTGGCAGTCTCAGTAAACTTTGGAGACCCTGCAGTCAGTGGGAGGGTATACAGTCCACAGGATGAAAAAGTTTATTGGGGCAAGAAGTGGTTCTGGGTATGCAATGAAGAAAAGCTTCTAAACAGAATTTAGCCCTAAAGATAACAACTGATTTTTTACCTTTCCAGCACTCAGCCCACATACAGCACCAGCCCGATCAGTACTGTAGTCAGAATGGTTTATTTTCTCCAATCTGAGTAATACTAGGTAAATTTTTGGTTATAATTCTGGAAAATTGTTTTCAAATATTTTGCTAGAGGCAAGGCTGAAAAAAAGTACTTCAAATCTCAAAAACATAAAAGACTCTAAAAACTCCACCATAATGTCTTAGTTCTGATAAAACCTTGAGCAATGGATCAATGTGTCATTGTGCAAAAAAATTACTAGCTCTGTTATGTACCAACCATGAATATACAGGAAAATAATCCATTCACAATAGCTAAATATATTTAGTGGAGGTGGAAGACATGTGCAAGAAAATCTATGAAACATTGAAGGAAAGAAATTGAAGAAAACAATAGAAGATGGAAAGACCTTTCATGTTCATAGAAAGACAGAATTAATAGTGTAAATATGACTGTATTACTGAAAGTGATGTACAATTTCAAAATGATCCCCACCAAGATTCCAATGACATGCTTCACAGAGAGAGAAAATTCAATCATAAAACACATATGGAGGTACAAACCATCTGAATTAGTTAAAATATCCTGCAGAAAAAGGTTATTCTGGAAGTATAATATCTGACTTTTTTTTAATTATATTACAGAGGCATAGCAACAAAATAAAGCATGATATTCAAACAAAAACAGATGCATAGATCAATGGAATGGAGCAGATGGTCCAAAATATGTACATATATCTATAGCTAACTGATTGTTGATAAAAATGTCAAATCATACAGTGGAAATAGGACAAACTCTTTAGCAAATGGTGTTGGGAAACCTACATATTTACCTATGGAGGACTGTAATAGATATCTATCATTAATTTTTGTTTCATTTTTTATTATCATATTTTTGTTGTACTGAAGGTATATCATGATATTTATAGAAGTTTTTACAGTACATCATACTTGAATTTACCCACTCCATCATTCTTGCAAAAATAATTCTAAATGGATCACATACTTTAATGTCAGACCTAAATAAACTACAGGAAAACATCCCAAAGTCCCTGAAAGATAAACACATAGGAAATGGCTCTCTGAGCAGGACTTCAATAGCTCAGTGAGTAAGAGAAAAAATATGACAAGTGGGATTGAATCATATTAGGCAAATAAACCAAGCCCCAAAAGTCAAATATGACATGCTTTCCCTCATATGTAAAATCTAGGCCTAAAAATAACAAATAAATGAATAAAAATGTATGCAGGTAAAAGGGAATATTTGTATGTGAGTGGGTGGACTAGTGGGAGGCATAGCTGGGACAAAGAGAATGAAGGTGGGTGAATATAATTGAAGACATATGGTGATATGATTTCAGACATTGTGTATATGACTGAAAGTATCATACTGAAACTGATTTTTTACTACAATAAAAATGAAAATATGAGCAGGGCACTGGTGACTCATGCCTGTAATCCTATCTTCTAGGGAGGCTGAGGTTAGAAGAATTATGAGTTGAGGCTAGAGTAGGCAAGTACTTTGAGATATCCCACCTCCAAACCAGCCAGAGAAAAATGAACTGTTAGGTGTGGCTCCACTTGTAGAGCATCTGTTTTACAATAACAAAGATCTGAGTTCTAATCCCAGTCCCACAAAAGAAACAAAAACCAAAAGAATTAAAATGCATCTACTTCCAATGTTTTCAGTATTATTTACAATAGTCACCATATGGAATCAAACTAAGTGTCTATCAAGAGACAGGTGAACATTGAGGATGTATGCAATAAAATAGTACTTAGTCATAAAAAGACAGAAATACTACCTATTAAATTTACATGGATGTATTGGGAGACTATTATGTTATTTGAAATAAGCCAGACACAATTAGATAAACACACATAATATTATTAATGTTATATTGAAGAATTGATCTCAAAGACATAGGAAAACAATGGTTGCCAGAGGATGCGGAAGTGAAGAGGTGTATTTTGGGTGAGGAAAATATGGTCAAAGGGTTGAAAATTCTGTTTACATAGGAGGAATAACCTCAAAAGATTACTTTTTTTAAAGCATGGCACTTATGGTTGGTGATGATATATTTTGTTCCTGAAAATTTTTTGACCAATGTGAAGTGTAATCCCCAGAAAAAGAAACTAATATAGCAATATATGTGTTGATTTTTTAATAGTTAACCATTATCCAATGTACTAGGCATCTTGTTTTCCACAATACATATGTTTAATTGTATTTGTCAAATAAATAAATTTAAGAACTAAAAATGTTAAGGAAAAATTTTTTAAATGAAAATTGATTTCTCTTGATAACATTGTAAATCTAAAATGATTTCTAGGATCTCCTAATGTTGTTCAAAAGTGGCATACCACAGAATAGTTTTTCTTTGTATTTATTCCTTTTAAAAATTTAACTATCCATAGAGAACATGTAATAATTTTCAAATTAAACCAAAGGAAAAAAAAGAATGCCTCCATGGGCCAATGTCTCCATAGCACAAAATTGACTGAAAAAGTTCTACTCTGTTATCTTTTATGTGTCCCAAGGGAGATGAACTGCTTGCAGAATGTGATAAACAAAAAACAAATTTACTTAATGAGGAGATCTGAGAATTTAAACATGGAAACTTTAATCCGTGCTGCCATTTTCCTTTCACCTGTAATTGGTTGGTTTCAGACTTTGTGAAATCCCAAATTGGCTTCCTGAGGACACTGCATGGTGAAGATAAAGTTTCAGGACAAGGATTGAAAAGAGTTGTTGGATGTCACTGTGATTTGAGGAGGAAAAGGTAAAGGAAGAAAGTTGGTACCAGGATTTATCTCAAGAATAATGAGAATGACTAACTCCCTATTTCTTAAGCCCATGGAAGTGATGTCCCTGTACTGTTAGGAAATTTAGTTTCATTTGAGATAAATCTTGTCCTGCTAGTCTTCTATTTCCTTCTCTTACTCTTCAAACCTGGAGTCTCTTCATAATAAGTGTTGTTTTCTGGAGAATTTTCAACTCTTCTCTATTCTCTCCTTCTGTCAGATTTTCATCATCCAATTATGTGCAAAGTAGAGTATATTTTATTCCAAATTTTATTAGATTTTTTTGTTATGTTCTGTCACTATTTGTATCATTTTTATTGGTGTATAAAAGTTGAACAGGGCTTTTATTGTGACATTTTCATGTATGTGTACTACATACTGGGGTTTGGTTCATCTCTTCCATTATCCTCCATCTTTCCCCTCCAGCCTCTTAATATGACTTCCACAGAGTTCAATGTTCTATACTCCTATATGTGTAGAAAAAACATTGCCCATATTACCCTCCTTTATCCTTTTCATTTACCTCACCTTCCACTGTTACCCCCCGCTTAACATGAGCTGTCCTTCATCATTTAAATGTCAGTTCATTGTTCAGTGGGGTTTTGCATTAGTAGTTCTCCTGTAAATATAATGTACTTTAATCAGTGTAACCCTCTCTGATCACTCTTCTTTAACTTGACCCCCAATCTCATTGTTAAAAGCTTTCAGCCAGTCTCAGGTGGCTCATGCCTGTAATACTACCTACTCAGGAGGCAGATATCAGGAGGATTGTGCATTGAAGTCAGCCTGGGCAAATAGTTCACAAGACTCTATCTCTAAAAATAGGGCTGGTGGACTGGCTCAAGAGATGGCCATGAGTTCAAGTCTCAGTACTGCAAAAAAAGTTTCAGTGCATTTTGCTGTGTCTTGTCACTATTTTTGCTAGAATATTTAACTTATTGACATATTTGATTTACTGAGCACTCTTGTTAGCTTTATATTATTGTTTATATCATTATACCTTAATAACCACATTTCAAATACCATTAATTGTGAGGTTCCATGCTCAAAACTGTTTGCTTTTTTCTAATTATGAATTGCTTTATATTTATTTAATATTTTTGTGGTGCTGGGCATTGAACCCAAAGCTTTGTGCATACAAGGCAAGCACTATGTCATTAAGCTACATGCTCAGGTCAAATGTCCATTTAAATTTTCTATAAATATCAAATACTCAAAATTGGGGTTTCTTAATTTAAGGGGTTTTAATACAACATTTCCTTTCAGATATTGTTTGAAAACAACCATTCATTGTTTTGTCACTGATTTTTCCTTGTTTTTCTTTAACTCAGGATTCAGGCCTGGCTTTTATCCACAGTAACAGCTCTTGAAATTTCTCAAATGCACTTTATATATTGTGATTATGGTTATTATTTTGCTTTGTTTATAAATATTTTTGGAGGTAATGAGGTTTGAACTCAGGGCTTTGCACTTGCTAGGTGGGTGCTTTATCTCTTAAGCTATAATTGAAGCCCATTTTGCTCTGGTTATTTTGGAGATTGAGTCTTACTTTTTGCCCAGGTTGATCTGGACCATGATCCTCCTATTTTAGGCCTCCCACTGTAGCTTGGTTGACAGACATGTACCAACATACCCAGATTTTTCTGTTGATATGGGGTTTGGCAAACCTTTATTCCTGCTGAGGAAGGCCTGGAACCATGATTCTCTCAACCTCTGTACATAGAAGACAGGCATTCCACCATGCCCAACTATTGGTTGAAGTTGGGGTCTTGTGACTTTTTTTCCTTGAGCTGGCCTCAAACCATGATTATTCCAATTTCAAACTCCAAAGCTGCTAGGATTACAGGTGCAAGCCACAAATTCCCAGTTCATTGACCTATTTTTTGTGAATTAATTTTATAAATATATGTTTCAGAAACTGATTTCATTACTAGAATTGGTATTACATCTTAATATCGCATCATTCTTTCAAAATAGATATGAATGCATTTTCTCTAATTTTAGTCAGTTCTGTAGCTCAGTAAAGCAGCTGATCAAAAGATTTCTATTTTGTGTTATAGTAGATATCTTGACTTCAATATCTATTATGCATCTAACATTTGTGTTTGATCAGTACCTGCCATGTGATAGGCAGCATGCCAGAAAATGAAATGCACAAATATACATGAATTTACCAATGGGAGAGGAATATCAAGGAAGTATAAAAGAAGCTGTATGGTGGAAATCACAGACTCTGTTCCTTGTGCTCCTCATTCTGTAGTTTGGATCACACTGATCTCTCAAACTGCCTCTAATATGATGTTCACCATGGACAACCATATTCTTTGGAGTATTTTGTCATTGATAATTTATTCTGAATAACAATGACTCATCCTTCTTGTCTTATGTCAAATATTTCTCTTTGAAAGTTGACTCCTTTACCACATTCACAAACTAAATTGGCCCTCAGCAACTTTTTCCTATTTTGTATTGATGTTAACTTTCCACACATTTGTAATACTCAATTTACTTGTCATGGAAAATAAACACTTGTCTTTAAAATTAATTTTTTCCATATATATCTCTAGAATATGTATTTGAATATATATTTGTATATTTTAATCAAATTCATCAATTTTCTTTTTTAACCATCAAGTGTCATGATTTGAAATATAACCTCTCTCAAGGGCATGAATACATGAGCACACATTCTCACATGTGCCTTGTATATTATTTTAATTGTGGTATGTTTTTTCTTCTCCTATCTATGTAGTAACATGTTTTTCCTTTTCTAAGGAGAATTCAACCAGAAGACTTTATTGAAAAAAAAGGTACCATAAGGGATGCTCCCTGGCTAGAAATGCTCTATAGCAGTCAATAGAGGAAAACAACCTGTTCTATTTACATTCATAAGTATGCAGTTTATGATGGCTGTCCAATTTAAAGAGGAATACTGCTAAATAATAATACTAAGATGGATTTATTGAGATGTTAAAATATATGTTTATATTGATGAGGTTTCCATTGTATTATGTGGGAACCACAGTAGAAAAATACACAATGTCATGTAAATTTGCTCTTAAATTCTATGACACATTGAATATACTACTCTGTTGTAAAGGTGAGGCACTTGTAGTTAAGAGAGATTAAATAACATTCTCAAGTTGCAGACATGTTTTGTTTGTAGAGTAAAACCCTATTCTAGAGAGTCTAACTTGACAGTCTCATTTTCAAACTACAGATCTAAAATATGCATTAGAATGTTTATATATCCAAAATATCATAAAGGAAATTTTAAATATCACTATTAATGATAATATTTACAATTATCAATTACTGGTCCCCCACTGAGTACAAAGTTTTTCAACTTGATTAACCTGATGCTAATAACCACATTATACAAAGAAAAAAAAAGCTACAAATAAGAGAAATAAAATAAGAGAATTAAAACATCATTAGGAATTGTCAAGTCATAGATGAAGATTTGCTGAATTAAATATCCTTATTTTATCACTTTAATAGAGCTATAGTTCACAGAAGTAGTGAGATTGCCATGACAATTGTTTGAAATAGTTTTAAGTATTTCAAATGGTCATAACAAAGTTTCTATCCATTGATTTCCAAAGGAGAATTAAAACTAGCTAAAGATAAATTGGAGATTTCTGTTAGCTTAAAGAATGGTTGTACAGGGAAAAATGTGTTCTATTTGGATGAATAAACCACTCTTATTGGCAAGAATCAATACAGGATGAAAGATGCTCATCTAAGGATTGATATTATAAAGTGATAAATAATTGAAGTTTCCATTGACTGTTGATTGAATGTTGCTTTTTCCTTACTCCTCAGGAAAAATACCATCTCCATGAAAACAGAGAACCATACAGGGGAGTGCAGTTCCTCCTCTTTGGCCTCTCAGATGATCCTGAATTACAGCTCTTTCTCTTTGGGCTGTTCTCCAGGTATCTGGCCACCACACTTGGGAATATGCTCATCATCCTGACCACTAGCTCTGACACCCATCTCCACACACCTATGTACTTCTTTCTTTGCAAACTGTCATTTGTTGATATCTGTTTTATTTCAACTACAGTCCCAAAGATGCTGGTGAACATCCAAACACATAACAAAGACATCTCTTACAGAGAGTGCCTTACTCAGGTATACTTTTCAAATATGTTCGCAGGAACAGGTAAGATTTTACTGACTTTGATGGCCTATGATCGCTTTGTGGCCATCTGCTACCCTCTGAACTACACTGTCATTATGAACACCTGGCCCTGTGGCTTCCTGGTCCTGCTGTCTTGGATTATCATACTCTGTGTCTTCCTGATTCATATTCTACTGATGAAACACCTGAGTTTCTCCATAAACACTGAAATTTCACATTTCTGCTGTCAACTGGCTCCACTTTTCAAGGTGGCCAGATCCAATACCTTCATCAACAACATCTTTATGTATCTGATGACTGCCCTTCTGGGTGTGCTTCCCATAGTTGGGATCCTTTTCCCTTACGTTCAGATTGTCTCCACTTTAATGAGGATGTCCTCCATTGTGAGAAAATATAAAGCATTATCTACCTGTGGGTATCACCTTGGTGTGGTTACCTTGTTCTATAGAACAGCAGTTGTAGTTTATCTCAGTTCTGCTATGACACATTCTTCCCAGGGGAGCACACTTGCTGTTGGGATGTACACTGTGGTCACTCCAATGTTGAACTGTTTCATGTATAGCCTGAGGAACAAGGATGTGAAGGATGCTCTGGGAAAACTGCTGAGCAGAGGATTATAATTAATTTTCTTTCTTCATACTTTGCTTTTATATAGATTTGCATTCATTTCTCCACAAAATCTACCTCAGTAGTTCCTTTTTTATGTTTCTTCGTATATGTATATATATATATATATATATGCATATATATTGTACATATAGTATAATATTTCTAGTTGGGTAAGTTTTTTCTGAAAGGCCTTCACATGATACAAAGAACTTACTTCAAGTGCTGCCTTGGTTTTCTCAAAATTTATTTGATTGTTAATGTTCTTCACATTAATTGAATCTTTTTTTATTTCCTTGGAAGAAATGTAATGAAAATCTTCAGAATGAAGTTTTTGAATCAGGACTCTGCTAGTTGTTTACATATACACCTTACCCTAAAATATTCTTTAGTATATTTTCCTTTCTTCACATAATTCCTGAAGGGAAAACACTTTGTTCTCTGTGATTTTTCCTTCATCTCTTCTTCCTTTTACCTTTATCTTGTTCTTCTTTATTTTTTTATTTGTAGTACTGGGTTTGAACTCAGGCCCTTGTGCTTGCTAGTACAGCATTCTATCACTGGAGCCATGCCCCTTATCATTCCTTAACCTTTTTCATTTTTGAACTCCTTACTTTTCTGTTTCATTAGTTAACTCATTTAATATTTTTCATCTTTCTATCAATGAACAATATTTCACTTTAAGTATAAGCAATTGTTTATCCATTCATCCATTGGTGGACATTTGTTTAATTTCCAACTTCTAGAAATGCTGAACAGTACAGAAATGGATATGCATGGGCATTTGTTTTAGTGTAGTCATGCATTATGAAGAAAAGTTTGGTAGATTACAGACTTTATACGTGATGGCAGTCACATGACTGATGGTGCTCTGACAGCCCTTATACTGACTTGTGCTCTCATAACCATAGTTGTATATGTAAGTGCATATTTTCAAATAATGCATTTCTCTGAATTTATCAAAATTGACAAACAATGAGTGACTAGATGTTTTCAATTATTTGTGAACTATATATAGTACTGGCATAGCTGCTTAGGAAGAAAATTGTACATTTAAATTCTTTTATTCTGATTTTATTATCTTTATCGATATTAATTGTGCAAATAATGTGCTTCATACTGATACTTTTGTATATGTACATAACGTAGTTTATTGTATTAATCCCCACATTACTCTCTATTTTCTCCCTCATCCACTAGCTGGTCCCCTATCCTCCCACATAATCTCTCTTCTCTTTTCATGTCTGCTTTAATTGGCACATATTAATTATATATAGTGAGATGTTTTGTAAGAATATATGAATAAAATGCATTTTGGTCATACTCATACCTCTATTGCTCCCTCATTTCCACTAACCCTCACACTATTCCCTTTCTCTTCAAACTCCATAGTAGTTTTTGATATATTTTTGAAATATTTTTTATATTTTGGTAAAGTACACTGATAAACAAACAAGGAATCCTTTCATAGACACTCACATTATACTTTGAACAATTTTACTCCCTTTGTTATAGCCTCGTGAACAGTGTTAATAATGAGAATCATTATGCTGTCTCCATATATATGTAGCGTACTTTGACCCTCTTCACCTCTTCGTACTCTCAACTTTCCTCTCCTCATTCACCTTATTTCTAAACAACAGTCAGCCTTTTAGACTCATTCCCCATAATTATTATTGATTTTTAAATTTTTTTAGCATTTTAGGTCTAGATATTCCATATGAGCAAAATTATGATGGGATCTTTGTTTTTCTATCTTGCCTTATCTCATTTAACAGAATGTTGTTCAGTTCCATCATTTTTTGCAAACAACTTTATTGCATTTTTTATGATTTAATAATACTTCATTTTGTATATCACATTTTCTTTCCAGTCATTTGTTTTTGGGTGTTTAAGTTACCTTCAGGTGTCTACCATATATCATGATTTATAACTCCCCAAAGACATGCCCAAATATGGTAATGCAGGGTCATAATACAGGTCTCTTTGCAGTTTTTTTGTTGAACCTCTATATTGATTTCCACAGTGGTTGCACTTGTTTACATTGTCTACAATTGTATATGAAGTTTCTTTTTTCCCTACAACAGCATTTAGTGTTGCTTGTTTTCTTGGTGATAGCCATTCTGTTTGGAGTGAAATAGAATCTCAGTGGGGTTTTGATTTGCATTTCCCTTATAGCTAAAAATGATGAACATTTCCTTATGTATTAATTAGCCATTTATACATCTTTGAAAACTGTTCAATTGATTTTACCTTTTATTAATTGGATTATTTGTTCTTTTCTTGATTAAGTTTTTGAGCCCTGTGTATATTCTGTATATTAATCTTTTATCCAATATTTAGCTGGCAAAGACTTTGTATCTCTTGACTCTGGTACTTGTATCTTTTCCTATGCAGAAATGTTTTAATTTGATGTAATCCAATTTGTAAATCCTTGCTCTCATTTCCTGAACAATTTCAGTGCTATTCAGGAAATATTTGCTCATGCATATATGTTCAGTGTTTTTCCCTTGCTTAAAGTTTTCCTACGGTAGTTTCAAAGGTAGAGGTCTTACATTAAGATTTTTGATGGATTTTGAATTAATTTGTGTACAGGGTGAGAGATTAAGTTCTATTTTTCAATCTTCTGTGTGTGAATATCGAGTTTTCCCTAGACAATTTGTTGCCAAGGCTGTCCTTTCTCCAATGTATGCTTTTAGCTCCTTTGTCAAAAGCCAGATGGCTGTAACTATGTGGGTTTATTTCTGAGACTTCTCTTATGTTTCCTTAATCTACAGGTCTGCTTTTGTGCCAATACCATAATGTTTTGTTATTATGGCTCTGTAGTATAATTTGAAAACTAGTTTTGTAATACTCTCATAATTGCTTTTTGCTCAGTATTTGTTTGTATACAGAATGTTTTATTTTTCCATATAGAATTAAGGGTTGACTTTTTTCATTTTTTGTAAAGAACAATATTGGGAATGATATTGTGACTTTGATGGGGATTTCATTTAATCCATTGATTGTTTTCAAAAGTTTAGCAATTTTCACAATACTAATTCTGCTAATCTGTGTACATGAGAGGTTGTTCTATGTTCTTATGTATTCTTTGATTTCATTTTACACAGTTTTATGGTTTTTTTTCTGTAGGAGGTATATCACCTAATACAATTAGCTGATTCCCAGATACTTTTGAGGCTGTAGTGAATGGGATTGTTACCTTGGTTACATTCTGAGTCTGTTCATTGTTGGTGTATAGAAAAGCTATTGATTTTTCTATGGCCATTTTGGTAAAATGCTACATTGCCAAAAGTGTTTATTATATTTAGGAGTTTAAGGTTTTTTAAGCAAAGGATTACATCATTTGCAAATTGGAGTATCTTGACTTCTTCCCTCCACATTTGAATCCTTTTTATTTCATCTTCTTGCCTTATTGCTCTGGTAGGAATTCCAGTAATATCTACAATAAGAGTGGGGAGATTGGACATCTGTACTTTGTTTCTGTCTTCAGAGGAATGATTTCCGTTTTCCTCTATTAAGTATAGTGTTGTCTACAAGATTATCATATGGGACATTTACAATGTTAAGGTAGGTTTCCTTTGTTCCTAGCTATTATCATGGAAGGAAATAAATTATGTGAAAGACTTTTTCTTGTATCTGCTGAAATGATTATGTGATTTTGTCTTTGAATCTGTTTTATTGCTCTGTTAACATTTATTGATTTGTGTATGGTGAACCAGCTGTCTTCATAACTTACATTGTCATCCTTCTATCCCTCATCTGTTTATTTGACTTCTCTTTGAATTCCTTCAGGTGTCCTCTTTACCTTTGTACATACTCTTATCATTGCTTTAAATTCTTAAAATTTCAACTGCTTCACTATCTATCAAGTCCTTTACTATGGAATCATTGGCTTTTTGTAGAGAATTATTGTTTTTTTTCCTATTACTTGTTTTTCTATCTTGAGACTGATATATCTGAGACCAAGTTTTTGGTAGGAGATTTAAATCTGTGTACCTTCTGTTGGAATTTTCATACTGTTCATGCAAGCCGAGATAGTGATTGATTTGCAGAGTGCTTTTCATCAGTGGACTGTATCTCAGCAGTAACACTTGACCATGGTGTTCATGATACTGGTCTAGACCCATACTCCACTCAGAGAGGAATCTTAGTTGTAGAAGAAACACATTTGATAGACACTCAATACAGGAGTACATCCATCCCTAATAAAAAAACAAGAATGTAATTGCTACACTGTCTTTACATGAATAAAGGCAGAAGCGTAGCAGTTTGTGAGCTTGTATTTACCTTAGTTTATAATCTTCAGAGCTAGAAGCCAAGAGAGCTAATGCTAATAAATAGTAAATGTTTATAGTGTTGTGGGGCTGGAAGGAAAAGTGAATAAGCTTAGCAGATCAGTAATGGGAAATTATAATGAAAAACAGAAAATATCTATACAAAGGTGGACTGAGAAGAAAGGAGCAAGGGGAGATAGAAAAAAGAAGCAAGCGACAAAAAAGCCATGTGCAAATATAATTGTCTATTGAAAAGCAATAAAGGATTTTGGAGGAAAGAATATAAGGAGAAGAAAAATTACACAAGTACTCTAATTTTTGAGAGAAATAAAGAGAAATGGGTAAAGGTGATGGAAGACAGAGAGGGAGAAAGTATTGAAAGGTGAGGCTTATAGCTCATAGTGACTGTAAAAAAGGAAGGGAGAAAAAGCAACTAAAAAGAAGCAAGTGAGTGAAAATAAAAATATCCAAAAAATATGAAAAAGTCAAAAGGACAAAGACAATAAAACCCCAAACAATATTTTCTTGTTTTCACTCCCTTGAGATATTTTTGCTTTTAGCATTTGAACTAGTTATTCTATTTATGATTGCTTCATAGGGAGTATGAGCTCAGCAGGAGGGTGGATGCTCTGAGTCCTGGGATGTTTCCCAAGCACAGAAAGACAGAATTAAGTTATGATTACAGGAATCTGGGCCCATTGACCCCACAGTTTCCAGTCACTTCCCATTAAAGTATG